CTAATCATGTTTGATCAGATATTTAATACTTATTCAGTCTATAAAATAAATAGGTATTTTCTTTTAAAATAGTCCACGCGATTATACCTTTTAATACGTGATAATAGAACCCGATATCTTGAATGAATAAAAGTTTGTGTTTTGTATCAAAAATTCTTTTACAGTTATAAATCTATTTGAAATGATACAAATACTGAAAAATATTTTGGAAACGAATAGAAGATTTTATTTATACAAGATATGACAAATCGTTCTATATAATTGGAGAAAAATTAGAATCTGACAAAGTGCGATGTGTACGAATACGAATCATTATTCTGCTATCAAAATTATCGAATTGGACAGAATTGTACATACATATATATGTACTTATGGAGTACTATTAAAAGATTGTAGACGAAATATGCAATAAAAATTATAATTTACATTTTATAGAAGCTAGGAAGCTGCAGGAAGTTATAATCGACATCTTCAATCAATATTTTATGAAACAGACTGAGGTACTATGTTTTACTCAGCTTTATACTGAAGAAAATAAACAGTAAAATAAATATATATGTATTACTTTAGTACGATTCAAGGTGTAAGTCCTATAAGTTCCAATTATCTAACTTACAGCCTGTTGTGCTTATACAGTATAATCTTGCTCACTATTTTAGTTACGTTACGTGGTATTATAGATTAGAGCAATAATCTAAGACTATATATTCAACTGTATTACACATGTTATGCTTTCGAGCTGTACGATTGGCATCAGTATTATAATAATATACATGTATGCACATAAATATAAATGTATTTATATTTAATATTTCTCCAACCAGATACTCCATACGAATTGTATAAGAATACCGTATTTGATTTGATTTATTGCATACCAAAATATTACCGTTTCTTTAAACAAGTGAACGAACGTACCGAGATGGTCCAGGCGGTATAATATCTCTTATGAAGGTATTCGAAATCCTCTTTAATATAATATATTTTATTGACACCGTGCGGTATGATTTAAAGATCTCACATTGACCGCTCTTCGCGCGCGCGCAAGCATGCAGCATGCGCACAGAACGACGCACAACGTCTGTATGTGGTTGCTTCGTTGCTTGCATGCCGCTGCCCATATAAGGCAATTTCCCCACGTCCCATACAGTGATTGGCCACTACGACCGGCAGATCAAGTCGATGATTAATTTCAATATGTATCACACTATTGTTCCTTGAATTGGACGCGCACTCGTTTCACTCCTTTACGATTCATCAACGTCCATATTTAGGCAATAGTGATGAAAAAATCGTATTCTAGATAAAATTAGATAGTACTATATAAACAACTGGCGCGACCGCATCACACAACGCTTGCGCCCTGGAACAGTTCCACCGGTTCGAAATTGGAGTTCGTATTTGTTTGAACTTAGTTCGCGTTACTTTATATACTACAAAAAAGAGGAGACGGTACAGAACATGGAATTTATTATTGAATTCTACCAAGGGAAATATTCGTACGATCGATTATAAATTTTTATTCGTAGATCAACCAATCAAGGCAAAGTTAATCGGAGTGCGCGCGCGCAGGCGTAGGGATACAGGATTCGCAGAAAGCTGGCTGAGAGAGGAGCCTCCCTTCCCGTTCGTTCGTGAGCCGCGACCCCCGCGACTGGACACTGCGCCTATCCAGTTCCACCAGACCTAGGCACTCGTGAAAGTGTAGGTTAAAAGTGCTTGTTTACGTGATTCTTCTCACCGGCTACAGCATCACGAAATGGTAAATATCACTCTGTGCATGAATACACGTTCCAAAAAATGTCAACGATCCTCTTGGAGCCGGTACACGGGTTACTTTGTGGTTATGGCCGAAGCAGACGCGCCGGTCGCCATTTCTATCCCGGCAATACGCCGCAAGAACGGCTGCTTTCTTCTTTTGGCCACATCAATCGACCGATATCGTTTATAGCGAACTGCTCATCCGGGATTTTCTGTGCCACCGGGTCCTACTACTTTTTAGTATAACGAACCGCCAGGATTAAGATCCTCTTGTGTAGATGCATTTTTACATGCCAATCGCGGTTCCTTACTTCCAGGAAACGGATGATTCATTTCCAGTTTCGCGATACGACAAATACTCGAAGAGCTGTGATCGGTAATGGAAGAAAATTGTATATCACCTATGAGGAGAGATTCGCGATTGTGTTGTAACGTACCATCGTATGGCAATCGTCTCAGTGAATTCTTTTCCAGTTTTATCGCAATTGCTAAGAACGAAGAATTACTTACTCCTTTTCTTTCTCATTAGCT